TGTCAACTCCATGTGTCATCAGCAACACACAGGACAGGAGTCCCCTTTGCTTTTCTTTCTTGATTGAACTTGAAGCTGTCAGAACAAACTTCTCTTATCTCTTTCTTCCCATCCAGCCCTTTCCTCTAACTAAATTTGGAACATCACTGAGTTCATCTCTGATTAAAGTCCCCGTGGCCACCACTCAGTTCTGCTCTTGGGCTGGGAATGCAGCCATTGACACTGGGAAAGGACAATGCATGGTTCTGTTCCAAATTAATGCTATTTGCAGAAACCAGCAGTGGGACACTGAGCCAGAGGCTGCAGTGTGCAGAACCCCTCTCCCTGCTACATGTCAACTCTTGAAGTCATTGTTCAGAGCACACACACCCTGTTTTCTCTTTACTTCTCTCCAATAGACAAATACAGTTGGTCCCCGACATAGGATGATTGAACTCAGGGACTTTCCCACTCGACCATGGTGGGAAGGAGCTGTGCATCCAGTAGCAGCAGGTGAGTGCTTCACTTTGGCCCTTTGGTCCTTTCCAGGGCTAGGGATATGCAGCAGGACACTCTCTGGAGATGGAGGGTGGTGCTGGGAGGCCCAGCTCCCAGCCAGCCTTGTGCCCCAGGGGAAATAGCAGGTGCCCTACAGTGTGCTGCGTTTCCACTGTGTTTTGAACAGAGCTACTCGATACATGACATGAATTGGTCAACATTCTGTTACAAAATAAGCTTCCTGTAGATCCTCATGCCCGACTGTAGGCTAAGGCGGTGTTCTGGGGAGGTTGAGTAGGCTGGGCAGAGCTCTGACTTGGCAGGCTAGGTGGGTCGATGCCCTTGTACTGTCCCGGGAAGATCCAACCTGGCAAGTCACAACAGAGATCTGGCACTCTGTGGTGTCACAGGTGTTGCCAGCACTACCCGCACCCACCCCCATCCCGGGCTCAACAGGCCATGAGTGTAGCCACAGGCCCACCAGGTGGTTCTGATGAGGCTCAAGGTATGGGGGTGAAGTTGGCTACCTGGGTGGGTGGGGGCAGCTGGGGAAGGCTTGGCATCCACAGCAGGTGGCATCCTAAGAATTCCTGCCCAGAGTCTCCACATACATCAGGGGATTAACTTTTATTCTAATTGCAAATTAAAAGAATTTGTGTATGTGTATACTGGTTCAGGAAAAACAGTTTGAGAATTTTCAGCCAACTTTCCGTGTGCACACACTTTACCCCGAGAATGTCTTACCCAGGGTGCAAACAAAGAAATCCCTAGAGGGGAACAGAAGCATGTCATCATTTTTGTGAAAACACTATATTCATGTCCATGTTTTCTTTTTAATCCTCATATTTGACAGGGTAATAGCTATATATTATATTTAATGTACACTCGCTAATTAGAAAGATTGAGTTTATTGAAAATTTCTTTTCAGAATATTCATTAACATCGCACATTTCAAAAATGCACAGTTATTTACTCCCGTAATACACAAGTAGATAATGTCACTGGACAATCAAAACATGGGACATCTTGTTCACATGTCTGAAAGGGGCATAATGAAGGTGAAGTCCAGAGCAGAGAAAGGCTGTCTGGAATTTCATGCAAGTGCAGCCCCAGACACGTGCTGATCTTGGCCCACTGGAGAAGACAGTCTTAGAATCCCACCTCTCCTCTGGGAAATGGACTAATGGTTTCCCAGCCTGTCCTGTGCTCAGATGAGACCCTGCCACCAAGCAGCCACGGCCCTCAGGCAAGTCACAGCCCTACCCCCAGCAAGGAACTGGCAACTAGGCAGAAGAGAGAACTTCCCGCATGAGCAAAATTCCCGACACTGCTCTATGGGGGAAGCTCTTCCCCAGCAGCTCCACTGGCAGAGCTGGCCTGTTTTCCAGACTGCCATGATATTTGCCACAGCACAGGTGAGAATCTGAAGAGAGGTGTTGCCTAAGTTCCTGTTTGGACCTGGCCTCTGTCACTCCAAGGGTGCTGGCCAAGGACACAGTCCCTATGCGCGCTAGTCTCCTCTGTAAGACGAGGATCACCACCAGGTGCCCCACAGGGTGATGGCGAGAATTCGGTGGCAGCAACCGCAGGATGCGCAGTTGTGCCTGGAGAAACAGGAGTGGACAGAGGGCAGTCGAGGGTGACCTGGGCCCGGGCTGGGACGCAAAGGGCGACCACACTATTGCCTGGAGGTTGGGGGCGGCTCAGGGTGTGGACACACTGGGTCCCAAGGCAACAGCCATGTGCCAGAAGCCTGCAAATGGGGTTATCACCCTGTGGGCTGAAGGCATTTGCATCTGTGTTGCCGCCTAGTTTCTTCCAGTGGTTTCTGTGGTTTGTTGGTTTGGTTTGGTTTTAAATCATCCCTGGGGGTTAGAAACAATTCTAGGGGAGTCTTGGGGTGCAGTGTGTGGGGTGGCATCTGAGCCAGGAGCTCTGGATGGGAGAAAGCGGATGCCTCCGGGTGGGCGCAGAGGAGCAGCGAGGGGAGCCGGGGTGTGGCTGTGCGTGTGCCCACTCGTGGGCATCTACACTCTGCTGCTGGAGGAGGAAGCTGTCCAGGCCCAGGGAAGGCGGGCAGGACCTTGAGGTTGGGGGCTGAGTGGTGAGAGTGAATTTCACCTCACAGGCCATTCTTGTCCAGATGAACACTCGAGAAAACATTAGGACTGTCCCACAGCTCTGACAGGTGGGCCCTGCATGCCCTTGCCCATCACCAAGGTGGCAGCAGGCTTCAGAGAACGGGAATGGGGCAGGGTTTCTGGGGCTTTCGGCGACCTTGGGCTTGTCCATGTGGACTTTTCTTGTGGGTTTGGGATCATCTTTCTGCCACGTTACGGGATTCAGTGGAACCCGCCTTAGCGACCATGATGAAAACACACATCGGGAGGGTCAGGGGACCCGGGCCCAGCTCCAGGAAGCCAGCCACGCGGGTCTGTCCTCTCCTCTTGCCACTACCCTGAAGCACACTGGAACTCAGAGAAGCCAGGCTGGGGGGCTCCGCAGAGCAGCTGTCCCCAAGGAGGGGAACACGTCCTGTGGGGCGCACCTTCTGAGGGGACCGGGGCACCTGCCCAAGGGCCTCGGGCCCCAGGGCCTGGTGAAAGATCACTCTGCTCCCGCCTGCTCCTGGTCCTGCACGCATCCTCCTGGCCTGGAGAGCCACCTGGACATTGCTCAGGCACACCACCGCCGCCTTCTCTGTGCCAAGGGGAGGGCTCTGCCTCTCACCTCAGCGCCCCCCTCCCTCCCAGGCCTGGCACAAGGCAGAGCTGTCAAGTGGGGGAGGGGAAAAGCAGCCCTGGGCTGAGGGACAACAGAGCATCACAAAGTCATGGGACCACGGCCAGCCCCGCCGGCCCCGTTCTGCCCCTGGGTGCAGTGGGCACCCCCGTCACTGATGGGCACAGGCACCTTTGGAAGGTGACTTCAGGAGCAGTTACAGATAGATGTGAGCCCTGAGGCCGGGCGTCGGGGTCTGCTCCATCTCCCTCAGCTCAGCCCAAGGATGAGTCCTCACCCTACCACGCCCTGCTCTGTCCACCACTCGCAACCCGCCCCTGGGTGCCACCTCTCCCCCCCACGAGCATCACACCCAACTCCTCCCAAGGAAGGCACTGCCTCTCACCCACCACTGGCCTTTCCCTTCCGTCCCTAAGACACAGATTCTGGAACCTCTCTCTCATGCGCCCCTGCTAAGTCCTGGATGTTGGTGTCCCCCAGCGTCATCTAAAGAACCTATTTCCAAGGTGACGGCATTAAGATGTGGACCCTTTGGGAACGATTCAGTCATGAGGGGCAGGGGGACCAGGGCCCTCATAAGGAGGCCGGGCGGCCCCCTCAGCCTGTGGAACTCAGCCAGGAGGGCCGTGCGTGAGATCTGTGCCCTCACCAGACAGTGAATATTCTCCCGCCCCATGGCGTTGGAGGACTGCCAGCCTCCGTGACTGGGAGCCATAAGTCTCTGTTGCTTATAAGCTACCCAGGCCGAGGGACTTTGCTATGGCAACCAAGGGCACCAGGATGGGCCCCACCCCTTCGCCTGACACCCCGTACCCTCAGGATCCAACATCTCAGAACATCTGCCCTTCTGAGCCATGCCACCGGGCAGGGCCACCCAAAGGCCATGGAGCAACACACCTTCTCTGTATCGCTCATAGGCTCCCGGAGGTCCCAGCCTGGGAGCACAGCAAACACGACAAGAATCTATCACCAGATCAGAGAGAGGACCCCAGGAGGCTTCAGGGAGAGCATCAATCAGGGGACCAGGAGCACACCCCCTGCGGCCTCCTGCCCCACCCGGACAGGGGACAGGGTGGTGGAGGAGGCTCCAGGGAACCACTCCTATGAGGCGCACGTTGTCAGTGGCAAGAAGGAAGGGACCCGAGGAACCAGGTCCCAGAGCCCAGGACCCCAGACATCAGAGCTGCTCCTATGGACAAGAGGGATATTGACACTCCGAAGAACAAGCCAGTCACTGACTACCTCGGCGAGTCTCTAAACCCTGGGGCCTTTGTGGAGCTGGCGTGACGTCCCCAGGACCAGGCAGGGACCCCATCAACCAAGTCCCTCTGAGTACGCGGCTGCCTCTGCCCACCTCCTTGTAGGAGGGGGACAGGGCCACATTCTGCAGACTCAAGCACGTCCCCGGCTTGGACACTGTCACCAGCAAAGGAAGGTCAGAGCCAGGGCCATGAATGCCAAGACAGCTAGGCAGTCCCAGGACCAGCAGCTGTGTCACAGGCAACCATCTTCCGTGCTGCCCAAGAGTGTCCTGGCCCAGGACCCGCCAGCGGCGGTCGGTAGGCTCTGGGGACACAGGACCCCAGCATCTGCCTCAGGCTCCATCAAAGGGTGAAATAAAAACCAGAGGCATTGGATTTGGGGTCTTCATGCACGGAGGAGGGGGCAGTAGAGAAAGAGCCAGGTTCCAATCAGACCCATGGGGCTGTGGGCAGAGACTCCCCCAACTCCCAGCAGTCAGAGCTGCCCCTGCGACCTTGGACAAGGGGACCAGGCTCCTATGGCCACCCCCTGTGTTCCCAGTTGGCTCTGAAAGATGCTTTCCACCACTATCCTGAAACCATCTTCCACCCCCGATCCACCTAGAGGTGTAGAAACTCTGGAAGCAGCATGCTCCCACAGGGCCACCTCCACAACCCTTGGGCTGGCTGGGCTCCCAGGGACCCTCTGCTTGTCCCCAGCCAGGCTCTCCGTGCCCACTGTTGCCCCCAGGAGCCACGCGATGTGCTGGCTGCAGCCAGGCGTCCTTCGGAGAACAGGTCAGGAGCTCCCAGGACTTTGTGCTCACACCTGGAAGGGCTTCACCTCTGCCCCCGAGGGCCTGCTGGGCTGCCCCGCCATGACCGGGCCATGGCCAGAGGCCCCATGGCCTTCCTCACTCGCCCATTTCTAAGCTCCTTCCCTGCACCTGCCCGGATGTCCCATTGCTGGAACATCTCGCTCTTGTCATGATACATTTCAAGAGGAACAGATTCAAAACACTCCATGACGCTGAGCAGCTTTCTGTGGAGAAGAAGAGACAGAGTCCAACCAAAGGCACGGATGAGCCGGACTGTGCTGCTGTCCCTCCCGCTGGCACTCGGGCCGCCTGGTGTGGGGTGCAGGGGAACACGCAGGGCCCCCGCAGCGGGCACCTACAGCTAGCCTGCAGGGTAGCAAGAGACAGAGCTGCTGGGTCTCACAGGATGTGGAGGGCGAGGGGGGCTGCGCTCCCAGAGCCAGGGGAAACTTCATCCACGGGGGAGGGACAGTGGCCAGCTTCCTCCTGCTGAGGGCAAAGCCCACCTGTGAGTTTCCCAGGGTCGCCCTGGGCCTGCCCCCTCTTCTGGTGTCCCCTAGGAGAGAAGGGAACAGGAGTCCTAGGCTCTGTCGCATCTGGTGAGGAGCCGAAGAGCAGATCCCGGCCAGGTCCCCCCCTTTGCCACTGGGCTCCAGAGCAGGGCTCTGCCTCTCGGTGGCCCCTTTGGCGCGTCGCGACTTCCTCTCCCTCTCCCAAACTCAGAGGGGGCGCAGATGCCCAGCAACAGGAGGGGACAGGTGTGAACTCTGGCCAGGCGCTGGGAACACCACAGACCACAGGTGGATGGTGGGACGCAGGGGGTCAAGCAGGATCCCTGACCTCCCCCCAGCATGCCCCAACATGAAGGGTCAGAGTAAAGGGAGGGCAGGATTGGCCTCAGCCGACCCGTGAGGGCAGGAGCAATGACATTACACCTTGAAGGAGGAATCTCCACACAGTCCCTAGTGCAGGAAGGGTCCCCTCCCCCCACCGCAGTGGGGACTCAATTCCAACCTAGCAGCACAGTGCACAGGCCTCCAAGGGGCACGTGTCCCTGCCAAACCCACATACAGAAGAGGGTCGGGAACAGGGACGAGTTTCCCGTGCCGCGTGGACAACTGCCCAGGGACAGGGGGGCAGTGCTGGCTGGGCCGGGTCCAGGGCTCACCGGGCCAGATCCCAGGGACCGGCCGGGCGACAGGCATCTGCCACCCTATGGGGTGTACCTCTGCATGTGACAGCAAGGTCTCCCGCTGAGTGTGTGCCTGGAGGTGGGGAAGCTCCTGCCCAAGGACACTCCGTTTTGGGGGGCAAATTGCACTTTTGTGGACCTCAAGGATTGCCAGCCTTTCCTGGCCAGAGTATCCTTTCAGTCAGACGAACCACCGTGGAGAAATGGGGCCCCGTGGGAGAGGGCTCCAGGGAAGGGAGAAGGTCCACCTCGTGCCATGCTGGGGTGAGGCCCTGCAGGGCACAGGCTCCACCTGACCAGGCTGGTGCGCCTCTCCTCCTGGGCCCCAAACACAAAAGTGCCCGAGGGCATGTTCCCAGCCCAGTGGCTTCCCGCAGAGCCCCCTGTGCTCTCTCACATCCTTCTTTAGGAAACCCAGCAGGGTCGCGTCCTCAGTGCCAGCGGTTGTCTTCTGGGTTGAAGAGGCCTCTGGGACCTTCCCCTGCCAGGGTGCACCCCGGCTGGTCCCCTTCAGGGACGCACAGCTCAAGCCCCACAGGCAGGTCCTGCACCTGGAGGAAGGGGCAGTGCTTCTGCCTAGCGTGGCCTCTGCTCAGCCCACTGCGGTCACCTCAGCAAACAATCCACGCGGGCCTTCTTAGTCGTCCACGCCCGCGCCAGGTGCACGTCCACATCTCTGGTCAGGGCCATCATGGGGAGGAAGAGCGGCTGCTGGAAAAGAAGGGCCACAGTGAAGTGGAGCCCGCAGAGGAGGCTGGCATCCTGGCAGTCTCCCTGAGGGAAGCAGAAGAGGGGCCTCGGAGGCCTCCCGGTGCGCCCCTCCTGCCAACAGGAGAGGTCAGGCTCAGGGGCTCACCACGGTGGTTAATGCTGTCGTCGAGTTTCAGCCTTCTTCATTCTCTGGTGACTCTTTGAAGGTTCGAAAGATCTGTCTAATCTATCCATGTGGACAGACAGACAGACCGGCTGCCTGATAGCTATATTTGCATCATTTATCTTCATGCTCACATTTGGCCAGTGGGAGCCCCTTCAAAAGGGCTATGGCAGCCCATCGTGGTGCTGCACGCCTGTCATCCCAGCACCTCGGGAGGCTGAGGCAGGAGGATCACAGGTTCAAAGCCAGCCTTGGCCACTTAGTGCCAAGGTCCTCATCAAACTAACACGACCCATCTCAGAATTTAAAGGGAAACACACACACACACACACACACACACACATTCAATATATAGGGACTTGCACTGGGATCCCGGTTTCAGTCCCTGGTTTGAAAAATAAAAAGTCTATGGTGACCTCTGCACATGTTCCCACACTGTCTCTGAGCACTCTCCTACTTTCCTCCACACCAGATATTGCCACATTCTCCCTGCGCTTCTCTGATACAGCCCCATATTCTGTCATTTCTCAGTGGAACCCAGGTCCCCAGTGGAGATTGCTTGTGAAACCAAGATCCACGCACAAAGCGTGCATCACGATCACTTCCCTGCAAAATGCGTGGCTGAGTCACATAAAGGATCCCTCCCTTTTCCCCTGTAGCTTCAGACCACCTTTAGTGAGAACCTGAAGGCTCTGATGGACAAAGCTGCATGGAGACAGTGAGCCAAAAGGGCAAGGAAATAGGAGAGCGCCTCTGGGAAGTGCCAGCCAGTGGGTTTCAGACCTGACATCCCAACCAATCACAATGCTCCACAGAGGCTATTTCCAGAATGTCCTTGAGGGGGTCCCAAATCACTTAGTCGTCAAGGATGGGGTTCAATGTGGTTCTGTTTTCTTACAAATGAAAACCAACATTCCGGCTGAGGGACATATCAGCATTCTGAATAATGCCAGGGTCCTACTCTGTCACTGCAGTCCCCTGAGAGTTGTACAAGTGCAAGGTGCCCCAGGAAAACAGATTTTGGCAAATGCTCTCCAGCCCACCATGCTGCCGTGAAAGACGGGGAAGAAGAGCTCTTACTTGCTAAACGTCCCAGGCGCCTCTTGGTTGACTCTGCCCCACACGGGTGGCCTCCTCAAGAGCCCTGGGCCACTTTCTAGTTTCCCCTGGCGGAGGAGGACTCAGTGGAGTCCGTGCCTTTTTCCAAGTGGACGGAGGTGGCCTCTTTGGACACGTGCCTACAAGGCTGTCGCCACTTCTGCTGGCCGCAGAAAAGATGCCCCAACACCAGCCTGCCGCAAAAGTCATGCTGCGCAATGGGGGACCAGAAGGACGGCCTCCTGTCACCGGGAAATAAACGGAGGTTGAGAACCGAGAACGGACCGACGTAAGTCAGAAGTTACTAGGGCGATTCTCCGCAAGTGTCCGACGGTCTCCTGGGGGGCAACGGGAACCCGGGAAAGGAAGAGCCGGCCTCACCTGGTGGCTGCACGTCCGCATGTCATGCGAGGGCGGGACAAAATGTCAGGCAGCAACGAACTAGATGAGACGCTTCAGCGCTTCTACTCACTCTCCAGGAGCGCTCCCCAGGCCCCGGACCCGCAGCAGCTGCAGCTGGGCTTCTCTCGCCTGAAAGCGTCGCTGGAGACCAGAGACGCCAACCGCCGCGGGGAGGACGTGGCGCGGGGCTGCAGGCGGCGGTTGGTCAAGGCGAGGCGCGCGCCCTCTGCTGGCCGTTGATGCGCAACGCCTCCCGCGCTTTCTGGAGGAACCACTGTTCTCTGTCCCCAGTTGGCTGTTGTCAAATTGCATGGGCGGGGATACAAAGCATATGGAAACAAGGGACATAGATGGTTTTTCTTTTCATTTTAAAAGTTTAAGTACACATATTTAAAAATCTCTGTCGAGAAATGGCTATTTGCAGGCCTTCAATTCTAGACATGCTTCCAAGCAATGTGCAGCAAACCACGAGCCAGATCCCCTTCTGTGACTCCATCACCCCAAGGTTCATCGGGAACAGTGGCAGAAAGTACGCGCTTATTCCATACATTCCCCTTCTCTCTGCTACTGACCTGTCCCAGAAGAGCTTAAAACGCAAATTTCCTGAATGAAAGGAACTGCCACTATCCAAACTCTCCCTCTCTTATGTGGACAGCATGAAGGACCCCGAAGGAGCCCAGACCCAGCTGCTCAACAGCTGCAGCTAGAATTCTTTCCAGAAAGCGCTACCACCTCTCACCTGGAGCCGTTCCCGTCGCGGCCACCAACGGCTGGCTCTTCCTTTCCCGGGTTCCCGTTGCCCCCCAGGAGACCGTCGGACACTTGCGGAGAATCGCCCTAGTAACTTCTGACTTACGTCGGTCCGTTCTCGGTTCTCAACCTCCGTTTATTTCCCGGTGACAGGAGGCCGTCCTTCTGGTCCCCCATTGCGCAGCATGACTTTTGCGGCAGGCTGGTGTTGGGGCATCTTTTCTGCGGCCAGCAGAAGTGGCGACAGCCTTGTAGGCACGTGTCCAAAGAGGCCACCTCCGTCCACTTGGAAAAAGGCACGGACTCCACTGAGTCCTCCTCCGCCAGGGGAAACTAGAAAGTGGCCCAGGGCTCTTGAGGAGGCCACCCGTGTGGGGCAGAGTCAACCAAGAGGCGCCTGGGACGTTTAGCAAGTAAGAGCTCTTCTTCCCCGTCTTTCACGGCAGCATGGTGGGCTGGAGAGCATTTGCCAAAATCTGTTTTCCTGGGGCACCTTGCACTTGTACAACTCTCAGGGGACTGCAGTGACAGAGTAGGACCCTGGCATTATTCAGAATGCTGATATGTCCCTCAGCCGGAATGTTGGTTTTCATTTGTAAGAAAACAGAACCACATTGAACCCCATCCTTGACGACTAAGTGATTTGGGACCCCCTCAAGGACATTCTGGAAATAGCCTCTGTGGAGCATTGTGATTGGTTGGGATGTCAGGTCTGAAACCCACTGGCTGGCACTTCCCAGAGGCGCTCTCCTATTTCCTTGCCCTTTTGGCTCACTGTCTCCATGCAGCTTTGTCCATCAGAGCCTTCAGGTTCTCACTAAAGGTGGTCTGAAGCTACAGGGGAAAAGGGAGGGATCCTTTATGTGACTCAGCCACGCATTTTGCAGGGAAGTGATCGTGATGCACGCTTTGTGCGTGGATCTTGGTTTCACAAGCAATCTCCACTGGGGACCTGGGTTCCACTGAGAAATGACAGAATATGGGGCTGTATCAGAGAAGCGCAGGGAGAATGTGGCAATATCTGGTGTGGAGGAAAGTAGGAGAGTGCTCAGAGACAGTGTGGGAACATGTGCAGAGGTCACCATAGACTTTTTATTTTTCAAACCAGGGACTGAAACCGGGATCCCAGTGCAAGTCCCTATATATTGAATGTGTGTGTGTGTGTGTGTGTGTGTGTGTGTGTGTGTGTTTCCCTTTAAATTCTGAGATGGGTCGTGTTAGTTTGATGAGGACCTTGGCACTAAGTGGCCAAGGCTGGCTTTGAACCTGTGATCCTCCTGCCTCAGCCTCCCGAGGTGCTGGGATGACAGGCGTGCAGCACCACGATGGGCTGCCATAGCCCTTTTGAAGGGGCTCCCACTGGCCAAATGTGAGCATGAAGATAAATGATGCAAATATAGCTATCAGGCAGCCGGTCTGTCTGTCTGTCCACATGGATAGATTAGACAGATCTTTCGAACCTTCAAAGAGTCACCAGAGAATGAAGAAGGCTGAAACTAGACGACAGCATTAACCACCGTGGTGAGCCCCTGAGCCTGACCTCTCCTGTTGGCAGGAGGGGCGCACCGGGAGGCCTCCGAGGCCCCTCTTCTGCTTCCCTCAGGGAGACTGCCAGGATGCCAGCCTCCTCTGCGGGCTCCACTTCACTGTGGCCCTTCTTTTCCAGCAGCCGCTCTTCCTCCCCATGATGGCCCTGACCAGAGATGTGGACGTGCACCTGGCGCGGGCGTGGACGACTAAGAAGGCCCGCGTGGATTGTTTGCTGAGGTGACCGCAGTGGGCTGAGCAGAGGCCACACTAGGCAGAAGCACTGCCCCTTCCTCCAGGTGCAGGACCTGCCTGTGGGGCTTGAGCTGTGCGTCCCTGAAGGGGACCAGCCGGGGTGCACCCTGGCAGGGGAAGGTCCCAGAGGCCTCTTCAACCCAGAAGACAACCGCTGGCACTGAGGACGCGACCCTGCTGGGTTTCCTAAAGAAGGATGTGAGAGAGCACAGGGGGCTCTGCGGGAAGCCACTGGGCTGGGAACATGCCCTCGGGCACTTTTGTGTTTGGGGCCCAGGAGGAGAGGCGCACCAGCCTGGTCAGGTGGAGCCTGCGCCCTGCAGGGCCTCACCTCAGCATGGCACGAGGTGGACCTTCTCCCTTCCCTGGAGCCCTCTCCCACGGGGCCCCATTTCTCCACGGTGGTTCGTCTGACTGAAAGGATACTCTGGCCAGGAAAGGCTGGCAATCCTTGAGGTCCACAAAAGTGCAATTTGCCCCCCAAAACGGAGTGTCCTTGGGCAGGAGCTTCCCCACCTCCAGGCACACACTCAGCGGGAGACCTTGCTGTCACATGCAGAGGTACACCCCATAGGGTGGCAGATGCCTGTCGCCCGGCCGGTCCCTGGGATCTGGCCCGGTGAGCCCTGGACCCGGCCCAGCCAGCACTGCCCCCCTGTCCCTGGGCAGTTGTCCACGCGGCACGGGAAACTCGTCCCTGTTCCCGACCCTCTTCTGTATGTGGGTTTGGCAGGGACACGTGCCCCTTGGAGGCCTGTGCACTGTGCTGCTAGGTTGGAATTGAGTCCCCACTGCGGTGGGGGGAGGGGACCCTTCCTGCACTAGGGACTGTGTGGAGATTCCTCCTTCAAGGTGTAATGTCATTGCTCCTGCCCTCACGGGTCGGCTGAGGCCAATCCTGCCCTCCCTTTACTCTGACCCTTCATGTTGGGGCATGCTGGGGGGAGGTCAGGGATCCTGCTTGACCCCCTGCGTCCCACCATCCACCTGTGGTCTGTGGTGTTCCCAGCGCCTGGCCAGAGTTCACACCTGTCCCCTCCTGTTGCTGGGCATCTGCGCCCCCTCTGAGTTTGGGAGAGGGAGAGGAAGTCGCGACGCGCCAAAGGGGCCACCGAGAGGCAGAGCCCTGCTCTGGAGCCCAGTGGCAAAGGGGGGGACCTGGCCGGGATCTGCTCTTCGGCTCCTCACCAGATGCGACAGAGCCTAGGACTCCTGTTCCCTTCTCTCCTAGGGGACACCAGAAGAGGGGGCAGGCCCAGGGCGACCCTGGGAAACTCACAGGTGGGCTTTGCCCTCAGCAGGAGGAAGCTGGCCACTGTCCCTCCCCCGTGGATGAAGTTTCCCCTGGCTCTGGGAGCGCAGCCCCCCTCGCCCTCCACATCCTGTGAGACCCAGCAGCTCTGTCTCTTGCTACCCTGCAGGCTAGCTGTAGGTGCCCGCTGCGGGGGCCCTGCGTGTTCCCCTGCACCCCACACCAGGCGGCCCGAGTGCCAGCGGGAGGGACAGCAGCACAGTCCGGCTCATCCGTGCCTTTGGTTGGACTCTGTCTCTTCTTCTCCACAGAAAGCTGCTCAGCGTCATGGAGTGTTTTGAATCTGTTCCTCTTGAAATGTATCATGACAAGAGCGAGATGTTCCAGCAATGGGACATCCGGGCAGGTGCAGGGAAGGAGCTTAGAAATGGGCGAGTGAGGAAGGCCATGGGGCCTCTGGCCATGGCCCGGTCATGGCGGGGCAGCCCAGCAGGCCCTCGGGGGCAGAGGTGAAGCCCTTCCAGGTGTGAGCACAAAGTCCTGGGAGCTCCTGACCTGTTCTCCGAAGGACGCCTGGCTGCAGCCAGCACATCGCGTGGCTCCTGGGGGCAACAGTGGGCACGGAGAGCCTGGCTGGGGACAAGCAGAGGGTCCCTGGGAGCCCAGCCAGCCCAAGGGTTGTGGAGGTGGCCCTGTGGGAGCATGCTGCTTCCAGAGTTTCTACACCTCTAGGTGGATCGGGGGTGGAAGATGGTTTCAGGATAGTGGTGGAAAGCATCTTTCAGAGCCAACTGGGAACACAGGGGGTGGCCATAGGAGCCTGGTCCCCTTGTCCAAGGTCGCAGAGGCAGCTCTGACTGCTGGGAGTTGGGGGAGTCTCTGCCCACAGCCCCATGGGTCTGATTGGAACCTGGCTCTTTCTCTACTGCCCCCTCCTCCGTGCATGAAGACCCCAAATCCAATGCCTCTGGTTTTTATTTCACCCTTTGATGGAGCCTGAGGCAGATGCTGGGGTCCTGTGTCCCCAGAGCCTACCGACCGCCGCTGGCGGGTCCTGGGCCAGGACACTCTTGGGCAGCACGGAAGATGGTTGCCTGTGACACAGCTGCTGGTCCTGGGACTGCCTAGCTGTCTTGGCATTCATGGCCCTGGCTCTGACCTTCCTTTGCTGGTGACAGTGTCCAAGCCGGGGACGTGCTTGAGTCTGCAGAATGTGGCCCTGTCCCCCTCCTACAAGGAGGTGGGCAGAGGCAGCCGCGTACTCAGAGGGACTTGGTTGATGGGGTCCCTGCCTGGTCCTGGGGACGTCACGCCAGCTCCACAAAGGCCCCAGGGTTTAGAGACTCGCCGAGGTAGTCAGT